AAAACATCCCGCAGGGAGAAGAAAGGGCCGGGAAGAGCATGCCGGCGAACGACAAAGAGGCACAGACCCGCGTGCAAGGGAACCTCTTCGTCAGCCAGTGGCACCTCGCTAGTGCCGACATACACATCCGCGACATCCTCATTGGGAATTTCACACAGGCGCAGAAGGGCGGCACGGGACGCCACGGCGGGCGCTTCGGCTGCGAAGAGGCGCCCGTCGAAAGCCGATAAGTCACAGCATACGACAATTTCACCATGGGCCCATCCCGGGACAGCAAGCAAAATGCCGGAAGCATCCGAGGGCTGGGGTTCAACAACAACCAGCAAGGGGTACAATCGTGTACTGACCGGGTCTCGCACTTGCGGTACAAGAGCGAGTGCATCTTGTACGGAGATAGGCGCCTCCATTACAAGAGTGACAATTTCTGGCACGTACTCAAGGCGAAGCAGAAAGAATGTGAACTCTGCTTCACCCTCCAACAAGGATGCTTCACCCGAATCGGAACTCTCCTCGGGATCCGGTAGCTCTGCGGGCCCGTCTTCAGCTGGCAAGTATCCCCACTGACGGCCAGTGCGGAGAAGAAAATCCCGTGCATGACCGAGTCGGTTCCTCTGCTCAAGAGTATGGGAGGTCGGTTCACGCAGAAGTTTGCAAGCAACAGGCATTGCAGGCATGCCCGAGGCACAAAGTGCGGGGATGGCCGCCGACAGATCAACTGCATACTCCTGTGCGGAATGAGGGTCATAAGCAAGGACCTTATGCTCCTTCAGAAGATCACTGTTTAGACTGCCCCGATACCCCCAGTCGGCGTCGTGGGCATCGCGGGAGCGTGACCTCTCCCGCGTAGGCTGGCGCTGACTTGGCCATGCATCCGCTCCAGGGGTGAGCGAGAACGGAAAGCTCCTGGACGGCCCGCTGCCGGGGCCCGGGCGGTTGTCATCAGGGGGATCGTCAAAACCGTCTGAAGGATCGTCAGCTGAGTTTGCACGCGTAGCGGTGGCGGGTACCGCTCTAATGACAAAAGCATCATGCCCATAGAGCCTGACCTCTTCGCCTGCGCGTTCCCACCCAACGGCGGCGAAACGCATGTGGGGTGGGATACGCACGCCTGCAACAGCTGCAACGGAAGGCAAATGTAGCCACGGCACATTGCTATAGGCTATACGAATCCCGTACCCTAAACCCCGAAAGTCGCAGAGCGTAAAGAAGTCACGTCGCCGGTATGCAACCGGAGACTCGATCTGCGCATTGGGCAGGTGCACCACGCAGGCGGCTTGCACACACGGATTGCCACGGTACTCAAGGTCTGGGGTAGGGAAGACGCCGACGGTACACTCGCCCTCTTGATAGTCCCACATCGACTGTATAGCTGAAAGAGGTGACTGACCGTAATGATGGTGGCGCGGCATGAAGACACGCTCCGGTCCATGGTGCACCAGTACTCCCACCGCGGGGGAGAGCTGCGGCATGCTAAGAGGCGGCAGCCATCTCGCGGTGTCCCGAAGGAGTTCCTCAACGGTCTGATGCGGTAGCCATTCCTGTGGGAGACGCCTGAAAGTAAGGACGTCCCCGTCGCATAGACGTAGCGGCTCTTCGGGCGGGTGGGCTGTCGGATTGTTGCCAACATGCAGTAGCATTGCCGTCTCGGAATACGTAGACTGCTGTGTGGCAAAGTGCATAAGCTCATCGAAATCGATGCTTTCTGGCAGAAGACAAGCATAGTAGTGTCCTCCTACCAGGGTTAGATCAACCAGCACGGCCCTCATCACACCGTCGGGCGACGCTGCAACGATGGAAGAGAACCTGACTAGAGTGCACCATCCCTGAAATTGCAAGGGCCGGGCCGGAACACACATGTCGAAGAGCCCTGTGTCGGCCCCTGGGGCATGCTGAAGTACGGCAGAGACAACATGGTCCAGCCCTTGTCCCGGCAAACATGAGACGGCCAGCCGAACCGGTCGGTAGTGCGGAGTGAACACAGCAACCCCAAGCCATTTTGCATCGCCGCCGGCAATCTCAGGTAGATCAGTTACCGAGTTGAGCGGGAGAACATGCGCATGGTCCTGATCAAAGGGAGTGGGCGCCCGAGGGCCAGCTGGCAGCAATGTTTGCCCAACATGATGAGCAAGCTCCTCGAGATTGATATCATGTGGTCGCCTATCCGCATTGGCAGCTACTGCGCCGGGCAGGACGGAGACCAAGAAAGGTGCACCAGCCGAAACAGCAAGGCCCGAGATACGCTCAATGGAAGGACAAGGGCCTCCTTCAAACAAAGTTTGAGGAAAAGGGGTCACAGTATTGCCAATGAGAGGCCCAAAGGTCCAACGCCACAGCGCTGCGATCATGGTAAAGGCCCAGTGAGGTCCTCGCCTACGGGCTGGCTCGCGGTGCCTGCACGCCTTGCGACCGTCGAGATGTTGCCTGGCATTGTTGCGGGTCCCACATTTTCGGCGCGGCAGCCCTGAGGCACAACAGGCAACCAGACCAAGAGAGCGCAGGCAACAAGCAGAGTAGGATCCCGGACCCCCGCAAGCCGGAATCCTCAACGCCCGACAGAAAGGGCGCAGGAGCGCCGCGACGAGGCAAGCCAATGGCAGAAGGCGCGCACAGCAAAGCAAAGAAATGGCCTGCTGCTCAGTCCAGGCCAGGATATCAGTGCTAGCACAGGCGAACTGCGCCCAAAAATGCGTGAGCATAATCAAGATGCCACAAGCAACCGAGGTGTAGGCCCAGGAGCATGCCTCTGGCTGAACAGTCGCACAGCATAGGAAATCCAAGAGGCAGGCTGCACGGCCGAGAAAGAGCCGACGTACATCGCGAACAGAAGTCGCCACAGGGGATCTATAGATCCACCGGCTGCAGATCCACCTGACAAGGCAAAGCGATAACAGGGCCTCTACGCAAAGGAACCATTGAGTGGGCGGAAGCCCCAGAGCCACCGATGCTTCTCTTCGGCGCGCCACTACAACAGAACCAAGGTCAGGGCCTTTCGAGCAAGAAGGGAGTAATGGTCCGCGAAAAGGGCAGACAGGGCACACGCTGAGGACACGGAAGTCAATGCCGAACCCGCGCCGTGCCCAGGATGACCAAAAACGTGCACCGGGGCAGCCATAAATCAAGGCGCCATTGCGGTGCGGAAGAGGCGGGGCGGTCCAACCCAACGGGCCAAAAAGGACACCGTTGGTATGGACTGCAGAGGAGACACACAGGGTATCTTTGCAAAGCACCAGAACCCAAGGTGGCTTGCAAGGGGCCCTGTAGCAAGGTGATTGAACTGCAAAGGGGCACAAGGTTGGGGCTGCAGCGGAAGGGCAAGCCAACATCCTGGACCTACCTTTACAAGAAGGCCGAAACTGTACACTATACAACAAGCGCAGAGGTGCATTCAGGCTCACTGGAAGAAGGATCAGGATGCTCCTAGCTTGCTGAAGGCTCAACCCGACGAGCAATGAAGCCGAGGAGTGCGCCCATGCACTCACAAGGCTAGAGCTCACCAGGGAACCAGCAGCACGCTGAGAAACAACCAATCCTCTGCAGAGGGGACCATCCCATTCCGACAGCTTGCTGGTCGACAAGCAACTTGCACGTGGCTCCAACAGCATTCCAGTAGTCCAAACGCAGGATGTACGTAGCGCAGGAGCCAATGCTACTCCATTCTGCCCAAGCCTGGTGAGGCTGTTCTGAGCTCCTCCGCCTCGGAATCGTCGTCTTCCACAAACCCAGAGGGAACCGAGGCCTCCGCGCTCACAACCTTCCCGTCTCCAGCTGCGCCATCCAGGCGCGGAACTGCAGGAGGGCGAATAACACCAAAGGGGGCCATGGCCGCCCTCGTAGCGCGGCGCTTTTCCGAGAGCCTTTCTGAGAGTTGGGGGCCTTGACCAGCCTTCTGTTCTGGAGGTGCTTGCATGGCAACCAAACCAGGGGGGCCCAGCTGGCCACTTGCTGAGCCGGAGCCAGGAACCGAAGGGCCGGTCATCCCAAAGTGTGCAAGGCCTGGTGAAGACATATAGGGATCTTTGCCTGCCGGGAGCGGAGAAGGTGGATCCGAAGTTGGCAGGGGAAGCGCACCACCCGGGCCACGCACTGTCGCTTGAGGAGTCATAGGTGGAACCGGCGTACCTCGACGAGGAGGCGTGGCTGGGACAGAAGCGTTGGGCATCTCCACGGTGATACCAGCATCCCGCAAGGCAGAAGCCAATTTCCCAAGGTTCACTGCCCCTGCGGCATCCGGTTCTCCCTCCACCGACGCCAAGAGCTCGTCCCACTCGTCTGCTCCCGTGGTATCCATCTCCACAGGTCCGGTCTGGGGTGTAGGGACATATGCACCTTGCAGTTGCTGGTAGGCGCTGGCCTGTGCCGCGAGCGCCTCTTTGAGCTCCGCGCCCGTACGCTCCTGCTCCTGGGTAAATCTCTTCTTCTCGGCCTTCAGAGTCATCTTCATCTCTTCCATGTAGGAGTGCCACTGCATATTCCTGTCCGAGTACTGCTTTTGCAACTTCGAGACCTTGGCATCCAGTTTTCGCGTAAGGTTCACAGCACTCTGCACCGACTTCACCAGCGACGTGGGCCCGGAAGATGGGCGGGAGGAAGATGGTGCTTCGGAAATTGGCACGATGGCCAATGCATCTGGCTTCCTGTCGTCGAAGGAGGGAAAGGCGAAGCCCTCCTTCTTCTTGTTCTTCGGCTCCCGTCGCGGGGGCTGCCCCCTGTACTTCGGAGAGACCGAAGCTCCACCACGCCAGTAGTGCCAGGACTTTTCGTCCCATCGTCCTCGGTCGTCGCGCTCCCAGTCTTGTCCCTTCTCCCATCCCTTCGGCTGACTTCTCCTTCCCATTCGCTGGGCAAAAGAAGAGCAGGTCGCGTGGTGTCGGAGGAGGCGAATCCGGTCGCGGACCCTTGTAGGTAAGCCGAGCCTGAGCCGGCTATTTGTGCGCCGACGCGCCTTGGAGCGCGTAGCCCGTGCTCGCCGATGCCACGAAGGGCTCGCGAGGTGCACGGCTATGGCGCCGGAAAGCGTGTCCGAAGACACTGGGGCAAACAGCTATCAGGCGCTGGTGCCTGTGTTCTGAGCCCTGTACATACATACATACATACATGCATGCATACATACTTATGCGCACATACTTATGCACACATACTTATGCACACATGTGTGCAGTCACCAAAGCTTACAGCCGAGGACTGGCGAAACGCACAGTGTGTCCAGGGACACTGCCTTTGCCGCCCAAATGAGCGCCCTGATTCAGCTGGGTCCAGGGGCTTCTGACCTTCAGAGCTTTCCCGTTGACGAGGGTTTCTTGAAGCTTGGGATCCTAAAGTGGATCTATCTCGGGACCTGCGAACAAGGAGTCGGTCTTCAGATCTAGGCCTGGTCCTCGGGCAAACTCTTTCAATGATGTAGTGCCAGCGGTGTAGGCCTATACTCTACAAACTCTACTACATATGCTATACTAATACTATTATGCTAGACACAGTATAGTGATAGTATAGTAATAGTGTACGATATTGTAGTAAGCCCGAGTCCCTGAAGCCGACGATCATTCGAAGCTTTCGGGCTCCCGAAGGATCCGAAGCTCGGTGCATTGTGGTCCCTTCAGGGATCTTTTAACACCAGGGTCCCTCAAACTTTAACAGCCCCAAATGTACTATCACTATCCGGTAGTGGTGTAGAAGAAGGAAAGGACTGATTGCTCAGGCTCCGGTCGGTTTAGGGTTTAGGGTTTAGGGTCCACGGTCAAGATTTCCTGAAAGCACGACCACCCGATGCCCTGAGGAACCCTTACACGACCTCTAACGACTCTAAAGCCTTATAAGCCCTTAAAGCCCGTTAAAACCCCGAAACACCCTAATACAGGGATAACTATAGTATAATCGGACCCCAAATCCTATTCTAATTGCGCACACTAGTTATGGAGGTCCTTATATTATCTAGCCCCTATGAAACCTGAGACACAGACCGAATGCCCCCCCCCACCATCTTAGGTGCGCAGTGAACGGGCAGTGCCTGCCGAAGAGCAACTGGACGAAGCCAGGCCTGGCACCCAAAAACGGGGGGCATCCTTTAAGGGGGGACCCTTTTATGGAATCCTATAACTAGTACCCTTGAAAGGGCCCGGTTATAGAACCTTACAGAATCCTCTAGGTGGTACTACAGGGTTCTGCAAAAGGGTCCCCCTTTAAGGGTTTGGTGTTTCGGGTCTAATTAGGGTTAGAGTCTGGAACCATGAAAGCATCTGGAGTTCGGGTTTCAGCCTGTAGGGATTACCCTGTGCAGTGGATCCTTAGCACAGGTACTTCCCTGCTACGGAATAGGGGATTCTTAGTTGAACGAAACCTTGATTTTTCCACCGAAAATTTGTCCCGCCGGAGCTTGTAGGGGCGGTGGTCTAGCCATGAATGCTTCTATGTGCAAGGTTTTCAGCTATGACGTAACCCCAAACCCTTCGGGCTGCAGCCTTAGGCCCTCCCGCCCGGGAGTGAAACCCTTAAGGCCTCGGCCTTACCGACTCAGTTAGAGATGGACCTGTCAAAGCGCTTCCTCCTATTGCAGGCATGGAACTCCAAGGTCTAAGAACAACTTGAAACTTCAGTCGCAAATCCCATCCAGCACTACTAGGGGGTCAGGTGACGGTTTGAAAATCAAGTGTTCAACCCCTCCGCCGCCGCAGCTCACCGATCCCGTCACCCAGAGAGGAAGCGGGTTCGTGGCAAGGCAAGCAGATCAAGGGGTTTCGGGGAGAAGGGGGGGGGGCGGTTGGGTCAGGGGGTGTCTCCACGAGTTCAAGCCGCGCTTGGTATGACTGCAGGTTTGTGGATCCTTGGCGCTTCGGGGGTTTAGCGCGTTTGAAGGGCCTGTCTGGAGCTAAAGATTTGGGCTCAAATGATTCCATGACCCGCTGTGAAAGACTTCATTCTTCGGTTGGGGATTCTGGTATGCAACGAATGTGGCCGTTGGGACTACAAAATTCCCCAAGGAGCAACAGGAAACCCAGCGCGAAGCCAGGGAGGCGCCAAGAAAGTCAGCTAAGCCCCTAAACCCTTAACCCTTACCCTAAACCGTAGCGGAGGTCGATGGTGATTGCTTGTGGGTTTCCATGATTTGGGCCCACGAGGTTCGCTGGTACTGGAAGCTCCCCGAACTCCCAGAACTTCAAAGTCCGGAGAGACCTTCAGACTCGACACTCCAACCCTCACAACTGCCTGAATGAAGCTCCTGCCCCTGAGTAGCTCACGAGCATGTCAAGTTTTCCGGCGGCAGGGCAACTTCACAGCCCTCGTGCTCTCGGGCGGAGGCGCCAAGGTGCGCGGGTTTAGGGTTTCAACAGAAAGCATCGACTTTACACCTTGGGGTTGGCTTGCGGTGATGGGATTCAAGGGGCTTAAGGGTTGGGCTTCAGGGCCTGTAGCGCCTGCGGGGTTTTGGGTGTAGGAGGGTTGTGGCCCTTGAACAGCCGTGAATTGCAGTAGGTCGCCGCTGTTTACGTAAGAATGCTTGCGTGCTGGCATTAGAGTCTGTATGAGCATGCTTCAGTGCAGCAGAAGTTTGCAGGGTCTTCACGCCGTTCAAGAGATGTAGCCTCGGCAAAGTGGTCCAGGGCGCCTACGAGCTCGGCGTTTTGGAGGGCATTTGTCGGAACGATTCCCTGCACAAGTACAGGACGCCATGCGAGGGCTTGATTGTCAAAGTTTGGGGCAAAGTACGTATCGTGATGTAGGATAAATTCCCAGAGCTGTAGAGGGGAAGTTCATTGCTGCTGGGATTCCTTTGAACCATCCGGGATCGAAGCTCCGTCCCCCGGAAGCGGACAGCACTCCGCGAGCTCGGCGCAGGAATTGGTCTATGATTGTTGGGACCAGCATCGGAGCATTGAATGCCGGTGCGCTCGCGCAGTACCAGCCTGAGGAGCAGTGTACGAAGGCCAGGGCTGGATTGGTGGGCTGGTAGAAACGGGAGGTCCCTTGTTTAGTTGCTCTTGCAGTTCGAATCTCAATAATATGTAGATTAAATCTAGAGTAGATGGAACATCATTATCCTCATGCCCTTAGCCTAAAATAGAGGGAACTCTAGAACGAATTCTCCGACACCCATGTTCCAACTTTCTTCTTGTTTTCACTATAGATGCAGGCTTCGGGTCCCTCATTTTCTGAAGCACCGATTCGTTTCCGACTGTTTTTTTATTTATGGGTCCTATCATGCTGAAAACTGGCTGGTTCGAACGGTGAATCTGAAGGTCCGGGACCCTCAACCCTACTTAGGGGTACTTAGACATATTCTTCTGATCTTTGGTTATTATACCCCCCGAGAAACAGCTAAACTTACAGCTTTTGCTGGGGGTCTAAGGCCAGTACCCTAATCCTAAACCCTCCTTCTGCTAAAGTGCCCATCAAGCTCCGAGCATCAAGTCTTGGCCCTGGACTTGTCTTCTGTGGCTCTTCGGAGACCACCGAAATAGTAGCAAGAGCCCTATCTCTGCGAATCGCAAAGGCTCATAATGTTCGAATTACTCCGTAGAGCCTTATCTCAAAGGCTGATACTCTCCTACAGCACGGATATGCAGATATCTTTGATGCCAAGTGTGGTCCTGAGCAGGGCAACTAGCAGTCGAAGTCCAGGGACAAAGCCCAAGTTCAGGGGCACATCATCCACCATCCCTAAACCCTAAACCCTAAACCCTAAACCCTAAACCCTAAACCCTAAACCCTAAACCGAGTCCAAGTCCGACTCCAAGCCTTGGGGTCTTTCAGTGGCTTGCGTTTGGGTGAAGCTTGCAAACGGAATCTGCACTCGAAGCCTGAGTGGCTGGAAGTAATGTCCTTCGTCGTCTTGTAGTTCGTATATAGTTATACAATCATATTCCAGCAAAATTGCAAACCGGTTCCAACTGTTTCAGTTCCTATACGAGGCATGTACGTCGCATCGGCAACAGCACCTGCGAGCGCTCTCGGCCAGGCGATACAAGCAGCCCAAGCATTTTGGGACACGATTAAGGCCACTGCGCGGTTTGGTTCCAGAGGGGCCTGGGAAGTTCGGGACAAGGGAGCCCTAAACCCCAAACCCCTAAAACCCTAAACCCTAAACCCATATAGGATTCAAGTCAGGTTCAAAGGATGTGATCTAGGTTCTTGAGATGTTTCGGGTTCAGGAAGCAGCGAGGCCTGCCCTGTACGATACATGCAAAAACCTACTACCCCAATAAGCCACAGAAATAAAAGGTTAAACTTTCCGATTCCTACGAAACTACAAGAACCCAAACAGTTTAAGGGTGAGGCATTGGGGATCCAAGATAAAGGAGCTGGGCTTCCGGCTTGAGGATTCGGGCCGCAGAGTCCTTACCGATGTGGACAAGTTTGGGTTTCAACACCTTTGACCTCAAAGCTTAAAACTTACCTTTGGTTAGTAGGGAATGGAGGAATGGGGTACAATTATATCTACTATTACTACCATTCTTCCATCCCCTACTAACCAAAGGTAAGAAAAATGAGGCCTTGTTCCCTAGGCCTCAGGCATCCTGAGGACTGCAAATACCGGAATCCGTGGAACGCCCGCCGATTTTGTGTTCACCACAACTGGTATGAAGGCTATAGTTATGATGATGATGATGATGGTGATGGTGATGAGAGTCAGTGATGACGACGAAGCATGATGGTCCCAACCAGCAGGACCATGATTTCATTCGGCACTTAGTCCCTTATTGTTTCTCATTCACACAAGTAGGCGAACCGTATCTATGGAGCAACCCCCGAGGTCGTCTCAGCAACTAGTAATACGATTCCGTTGGCTTCCTTACTGTAGCTCTAGTATAAGGCCCCCCACAGACCCTCGTCTAGTGACTCAGGCCGGCATATTAGGCTGTAGGCTTTGGGAGTTTTTAGAGTTGAGGAGCATAGGAGGTTAGGATGTCCCGACCACCGAGCAGCTTTGCAGAGGCCCCTGAGGACGTGGCTTGGATGCAGAGTCTAGATTAAGGTTCCGGGTTAGGGTTTAGGGGTAGGGGTTTAGGGGTTTGGGGTTTAGGGTTTAGTGGTTAAGGTTTTAGGGTTTCGGGTTTAGGGTGGCCTGTAGACTTCAGTGGAAGAGAAAGAGGACTGTCTGACGACTACAGACTCTTCAAGTCTTCCAGCTCGAAATTAAGTGCGTGTTCCTATCCCTGACGGTATCTGCGTTTTGCAGATTGACGCAGCGTCGCCCTGCACCGATGGGTCACAACTCCCGTGACAGAATCGCTCGAAGCTGGAAGCAGATACCGAGCATTTGTCCAAAGTAGCTTGCAGAGCCCCTGCGGTGGCGAGCTTAGGAAGATCACGATATCCACGCAACTAATTGTGCAAGGGTACTACCGAGGGAATGCAGTGCGAATTCTGTGCTGGCTGTGACCTTGACTGTCCAACAACAACCGACTAGTATTGCGACAAGGTATTGGTTACAGTGACGTGTGGCAGTTTCTCAGGTGCGGAGTCAGGAGTGTCGTCCTTATCCCCTATCTTGGCAAGCTTCATCGCACAGCCGCCATTTCTTAACTATTCCCATCAGCATCAACATATCTAGCTTCGTCAGGGTAGCAACGTTGATAGTAGCAGCATCAAGTACGCGGCCTGTTCCAGCATTGTTGTCATTGCTTTCGTTGCGGCTTCGCTTGTTCATTTGACGGTACCCGTTCTTGCTTCTGCTATATTTGGTTACATGCAAACCCCGTGAAACCTAGAACCTTGAAAGCCTCCAATGCAAATCCCTTAAACCCTAAGCCCAAAGACACCTACCATAAGGTTTGGGTTTCCTCGGAGTTGGCAGCCGTGGCCTCAGACTGTTTTGGGTTCAGCTTCGCGACCCCACGTGCGACGACGAAGCTTCAAGCGGCGACCCTGCTCACAGCCTCAACCACTTCACGGACTGCACAGAAGTCGCAATCGTGGTTTTCGGCGACTCTGTTTTCTTGGAGCTTTCTTGAGAATGATACTGCGCAATGCATGTGTTGGCAAGTCTTTTGGCAGAACCGTCGTACAGACATTTGTTTGACGCTCTGAAACCTCAAGCGTGCCCACATCAAGTTCCAAAGTCTCATGGGCAGAAGCCCTTCCTTGAGCCTTAAGCCTAAACTACCTAAAACCCAGAACCCTCATCAGGATGTGGATCCGGGCGATACAAAGACAAGCCGCGAGTGGCTTGCCTAGAAGAGGTTGCCCTACCTACATGTTGGGTGGATGATCTGCTTCGTAAAGAACATCCCAGCATTGGAGTGGCAAGTAACGTGGGCAATTATCGGCATTTCGGCAACAGGACGGAAACTGCTACAACTAAATGTGTTTCCTCCGGACGACAAGTATCTGTTGTGCGAAAGAGATCAGCGCCCCGAGATGCAAGCGACTCCCTCAGCAGGGTTTAGAGCTTTAGGTGTTGAGGGTTCGGGGTCTTCCGGGTTTAAGTTTAGGGTCAGGTTCATGGCCTCCCCAGACACCCTGAAGCTTCGAAGCCTGAGGTAGGAAGCTTCAAGAAATATGTTGGAAAACAAAAGTCCGAGGCCCTGCCTTACCGGCATCCGCGCCATGTCAATGGTCAGAGCCTCAGAATACAAGCAGTCTGTATCGTGATGGAAGCGATCTGTGTCATCATCCTCCTGCTGCTGCTGCTGATGATGATGATGATGTTAATGACGCTGATGACGATAATGAGGACGACGATGATGACGGTAATGCCCATCATCCTCAGCGTTGCTGCAGCTGCTGTCAAAGTCATAGTCATCGGCACCATCACTGACGTCACCACCATCAGCATCGACGCCCTCACCGTTGCAATTGAGATCATCCTCATCCTCATCATGAACACCACCATCACCATCACCATCACCATCACCATCACCATCATCATCATCATCATCACCGTCATAACTATCGTCATAACCATCATCACCACCTTCGTCATCATCACTAGCATCACTATCAGCAGCAGCAGCAGCACCATCGCCATCGCCATTATCGCCAGCATCACAGGTACCACTGGCATGGCTACGGCAGCAGTGGACACTGTTATCACCACCGTCATCATGCTCATCCCCTATATTCGTGAGCTCGCCCTTTTTTTTCCATGCGTGCGGTTGTGATTTCTTATCCCTCGATCACTTTGTATTCGTGTGCCTCTTTGCGCGGGCGAACGAGTCGGTTTCGACGTCGGTTCCGGCTGGAAGCCTTACGGAAACAGCGATCCGTTTTCGGCTTTATGGCAGGCCGGCCCAAGGTGGCAAGTATTTCTCCTTCGCGACCTCACTAGCCAGCCGCGATCCCCCCGCTCTCTCTCTCTCCCTCCCTCCCTCCCTCCTTCCCTCCCTCCTATACATATAGGTACAGATATACATATACTAATGATAGTACCACTAATTGTAATACTTGTGTACCAGCACTATTCAGGAAATCGATCGCGACTCGTAAGTTCGGAACCCCAAGACTCTCGGAGGCCCCCGGGGTGTTTGGCACGACTGGGCCTCCAAACGGCACTCGTGCCAAGCGCTGGGAGTTAACTCACACTAGTTCCATGTTTGTATTCGTACTAATAAGAAAACTACTGAGCCGCAACGCCTAACCCTTCCAGCCCAACTCCTACCGAACCATTCGGAGACACCGGCGCAAAGCAACCCCAGCTCCGTAGAACCGAAGAAGACCGAGAGAGAGCTTTGCAGGCCATGGCCTTCTATCGCCGGGGTGGGGTGTGCGACCCCAAGCCCGGCAGGCCGGGCAACGTGACCCAAAGTGCGGTACTCTCATGGGGTTTCAGGGGTTTGGGCTTTAGGGCAATTTAGGGTTTGCGATTTAAGGTGGTGGGGTGAGGGGGCGGGGGTTGGGGGGGTTTCGGAACCAGGGTGTTGGGGGGTGAGATTTTTGCTTTAAGCCTTCGTTGCTATGTGTGGTCGTTAGGTGTTGTTTGCGGCTGAGTACTGAGGACGTGTTCGGAGCGATGCTTAACGTTTCACTTTTGAATGCCCGCTTCGTTGTTGTTTTGTTCTGTGTAGCCGGCTCTAGCACCGAATTCTTCGACTGTTCACCGTCTCAAACCCAAGCCTTTAACCAGAAAGCCAAAGCCAGCAATGTCATATATCATGTATATTGTATCATATTAGATCATGCCTAAATTTGGAAGCACAGCTCCCATGGAGGAAAGCTTTCGAGTTCGCAGTCAAGAAAGAGCGCATCAGACGCCTGGGCGGAATCCGTTTTCCTTGTAGGCTTTAGGGTTTCTCATAGGCCCCTGATCCGAAATTCCATGTAGTTGCTGTGACGACCCTTATTCTTCCTATTATTGTTGGTGCCAGTATCATAGTATGACGCTCGTCACGTCACATTACTAGTACTACCATGAGCCGCTGAAAGTAGCCGGTTTTCTAATGTATGCCGGCCCGTGCATTGCACTGCGAATGACTGCCAGAGCCTGCTAGAGCCTGCTACTTAGAATGCTCATATTTGTGTATCCTGAGGCTTGAAAGCCCCAGCTATCATTGTTTCGTTGCCATCTTCATCGTCCACCCCTACCCTGAGGATCCATTCAGAGACTAGGACATGCCCCCGAGTTTCGAGAGCCCCCCGTGTCATCCAATGCTCACCGAGGACAGTCTGGAATGATGCTGCGTGTGGTCGCCACGTCGTTGGCGACTGGGCTGCCGAAATGGCGCCTTCGCTGGATTTATTTAGAACAGGGTCTTGGTCTGTACTGGAAGGGGGTACACGTATGCTACACTACAAGCACGTAGGGCGCAGGGGTTCAGGAGTAGAACCCCGCGTCATCCTGAGTAGAAGGAGATTTCTGATCCTTCAGCCTTTGGTGCCCTCCGAAAAGACCCTCAGCCCAAGAGCCGATCTCAGATCTCCGCTCGAGGTGCCTGTGCCAAGTATCCCCTTGGAATGTCCACCTGCGGTTTCCTTTATGGGGCTTAAGGGTAAGTCAGGACTCGCGGCTCAGCACCCCGTATTGGACGCTCCCTCAAAAAAGCGATTCTGCCGGTGTCGAACAGCTGCTTTCGTGTCGTGCAGCAATACACGGAATCAGTATCCTAGCTCGGAGGTGGCAAGAGACCGATGAGAGGATCATCGAGGGCTGCGAGGTGCCTGGGCGGAAGTGAAGGGGCTCCGAATCAAAGACCAAGTCCATGCCAGGCCGCACGAAATGAGTATGGTTGTGGGAGGTTCGTACCTGGCCTAGGGGTTTCGCGCCTACCCGCAAGGATCCCCGAACTGCCACAGGCTGAAGTCTTGAACCCCATGCTGTACGCAGCGGAGACAAACCTCTGCCCGCGCCGGCTCTCTAATCACAAACCCCACATCTTCGTTCGACACCCCCGCAAACCTCAGGGTCAGCCTGACTGGTCCTTCGAAGCACAAAGCCTCATTAGCACTACCTGGTAGTAGAGTAGGTAACCTTTAACCTTTTTTTTTGGGTAGTATAGTCCCTGTATAATCCCTATATAACCAAGAAGGTTAACCTTTAGTTCCCCATGATACCCGACAAGTGGGACTAAACGTGGCAGCCCTCTGAGGCCTCCGGTGCGATTGCACCACTGATTTTTCCTAAGGAGGCCAGATGGGATAGACTCGTGGCTGAGCCGGGTTTAGGATTGCAGAAGAAGGGTCAGGTACTATAGGGGCCTGAGTAATCACCTATACCATTTTTTGGGGGTTCCTTGGTATAATTATAGTATCATGGGCCCCAAAACCCTAGTCTAATTATTAAGGCCCCTATATTGATCTAGAAGCCTTCGCGACTTTCGGATGGCACCTTCCAGCAGGAGATTTGTCCGGTCTCTCTTGTCTCGGGTTCCCCTTGCAAACAGAGGATTCTACATATGGGGCATTTGTTGAGTGTCCCATGTTCTGCAGGAGCTTCGCAACGGTGACTAGCAGCTTTTCTTCATCTTCTACGTAGTAGTTGCATGTCTTGTAGTTGCATGTCTGATGTTCGTTCGAGCAAGGGGTCCAAGGCAGTCGATGATCGGCTTGATTGAACCAAGCTGAACGGCAGTTGCCTGCTCGGTTTCTAGTCGTTGACGCTTTGATCTTGATCAGAAGCTATTTCTACCGCTGTCTGTCCAACTTTGTTCTGTGTGCAGCTTGCATCGCTGCAGGTGGATGGTGTGGGCTATATAGACGGCGGGTTCGTGGCGAACACGCCGATCATGAAGGCGAGCAGCTAACATCCCACACCCCCCGCAAACACATACACGTCCCTAGTCCTGTGCTCTGCAAAAGCGAGACCAGATTCAAACTCTCGCTAAAGGGCCGCACAAGTTGCATCCATCTCCCCTTACTCCGGTATTGTCACCCTTCTTTTGCCACTGGAGAAGGCGCTGGAAGAGGGCGCCCAAACAGTCATCGTGGCGCCGCGGAATGAATTAAATCTGCGCGGCGACTAGGTCGACGTTTCTACGGAATATTTGGCCAACCTGGTCCGGAGTGCTAACCTAGATTCGTGAGTTCTGTTGCTCCCGGGTGAGCGTGTCATGTGTTGGATGATGCCATCAACATCACCGGATGCAAATCGGTCTGAAGCCACCGGATGGGAGGACGATGACGAATATTTAGCAGGAGGGAGATAACGAGGCTGAGGAAGAGCGTGATGATGAGGAGCCTGAAGAAACAGAGTGGTGGCGAGCAGGACGACGAACAGATCACCAAAGTCCACTAAACAACACTGGTTTCGCAACGATCAAAGTAATGTTTTGATGATGACACGGGGAACGCGATGCTGCTGCTGACGAGGATGGTGATGTTTGGACCTCATGGTTATGATTCAGATGTTCTGATGGCCATGATTGTGTCCCCGTTATTGTTGTTGTGGTGGTTGTGGCGGTGTTGTGGATAAGACGAGGACACCGTTGGTCTCGGTGCATGGAGATTCGGCATAGGCTGCCATCCACATTGCGCAGCGGTTTGCAGTTTCCGTTGTGTTTAATTGGTTCGGCATGTGCTGGCGATGAAGACAAGTTTGCAGTGTGCCTCAGCAGGGGAACCTTTAAGGCGAGAGAAATGGCCTTGCATGACTTGTGCATGCTCCCCGTATACCTTCATCGGAAAGTTGCCCCAAGCCCTTTCTCACTCGGGTTGTTGCATCGCATCTAAGCTGTCTGTCTGGAATTCGTCCTTGGGTCATCAAGAGGAAACCTCTCGACAACACGGCAACCGAGTAAGTTTCCAGGCAGTCCTGGGTTCTTCCGGGTTGTCCATTCTTGGTAGCACACCCCAAGAGAGGGCTGCCAAAAGCAGACCCTCCACAGCAGGATAGCCCCTCATGACTTCCTCTCGAGGGTCTATGGGCTATGGGTTCTGGCACCAAGGTCGAGCTGAACCCGATGTCGAGCAACACTCTCATCCCGAGTCTTCAGAAGCTTTATGCTGCACGGCCCCTGGGGGAAGTCGGTTGTCTTCTTCGGCCTAGCCTTGGGGTTCGAGGGTTGGCGTTGCGTGGAAGGGAACTTTGCGATTGGGATTTGTGATTCAGTAGTCTAGGCTTCGGAATGATTAGTTCGCCCACTGTATCGACATAACTAGAGCAATCGTATAATGTGCCCCGAACAGGTCACCGGTATAGGCCTTTCAGTCTTGGACCCTGGGTCTCATCAGATGGACTTGACATTCAGGGTCGTGGACATTGGGCGTGCTTTACGCTCTTACAAGCCGCGGTGTGTGTGTGTGTGGTAGGTAAACAGGTATACGTATGTGTATACATATGTGCATGGGTGGGTTTGTATCACTATCTGCATACTCATGTATGTGTGTATAAGTATGCATGATTATGCAACCAAGTGCATGGTGCAGTGTAGATATACACTAAGATTCACGTGTATCTTGCATATCGTGTTTGAGTTTGGCTCTCCAGGTACTTGTGTGCCTCTAAGTCTCCGTTTTCAAACACACGCATGTGTTTGAGTTGTATACACAGCGTAGGAGACAGCTTCTTTTTTTTCGGGAGTGTAAACCAATCGCATAACTGTCTTCTCAGAGTTTTGCGAGGGAGCGACTTGTCTGTCAGATTGTCGGAGTCATATCTGTGTGCATATATGTGTACATATCAAATACAAGCTATACGTGCATATGTGCCTACTTCTGTAGATATTCGTTTATGGGAAAGGCAGCCGCCTTGTTTTGGAGATGTTCCATCTTGCACTGAGCTTCATGTCTCGAAAAACCCCGTTCCGAGGCTTGACGTAATTGGGATTGTTCTGTGCAGAGGCCTTTTGCAAGCGACTACCGGAAAAAGCAGGCCCTCCCCGACCACCTTCTACAGCGAGGGTCTTGGAGAAGCCCTTGCTACCCCCGTGATGCGGTAAGGCAGATGAAGATGTCGGACTGCGGATTCTAGAATTTGAGGCGAGCCTCATGCAGCAAAGGCGCGCCGAGGGATCTCATGTAGGGGAGACGTTGAAGCCATCCTATCCGTTGCAGTCTTCAGCACCTTCATGTCAGAGTTTCAAAAAAGTTGGGGCCTCCAAGCCCAAAGTAGTACTCATCAGAAGGATCCTGTTTCTTCCGGGTTACGCCTGGGCTCGAATGCCCTGCAAGAGTTCCTGTCCTAACCTGGCCCTCAACACGGCCAGCAGACGTTTCAGTCGGTATATATACTTCCTAGACACTCCTTCGCGGTGGCGATCGTTCTTTGACGGCTTCGTCTGAAATTTGCTTTTCCATTTGTGGTGCCGGTCACTGGAAGACCTCAGTCAGACAGGAACCGCTCCCGTCTGTAGTCGTCCACAGATCAATACTTCACGCAATTTTTGTTTGTTTTTGAAACCGCGACGATCCTCTATAGCAGTTCTGGTCTGCTACTTGCTGCCCTCTCCCTCTTGATCACGCTACTCCTCTGTTGTTTTGCATGCCTCCGGAAGTTTCGACAGCCACGGAGGTACTTTCTGGAGCACGAGCTGCAGATGGCCTGTCAGCGGTTTCCGGACTGCTGCGGTGGTTGCGGCTTGTGAATCCCCGTGTGTTCATGTCATGACAAGGCCGAGAATTCTGGATGGTTGGGTGGTTCCAAGAAGTAAGTTCATGTAGAACTCTGGAAAGAGCATGTTGATACCAAGCTGAATGCTGGATCGGAAAGCGTTGCCACTGCTGAAGCAAGCATTTGGTCAGCTGAATGTAATGGACGAGTGTGTTCGGCTTGTTTTTCGAAGCATCGTCATGACCCCCAGCTTGTTGCCCTTGTGCTTTCAAGGCTTTCCAGTTCCTTGTGGTGCCAGTGCCGGTGCCTGCTTCTGAAGTTCTCGGGGTTTGCCCTCTGGACACTGTTTGCTGTTCATCTCCTGCACATCAGGACCGAAAGATCATGGCCTTTCTACCTCGTTCTGATGTAGGACGGGATGCTCGGGGCTTCATGAACGTAGGCATGTCCAACCGAGAACTTCCGGATTTCGGTGTGCGAAGACTGCTAGAGTCTGTAATCCTACTAGGGCCCCGTATTGAAACCCCAGTGCTAGCCCTATGAGAGACTGTTGGGAACCTTCCGGCTTTTTCAAGCCTGGGCTCGTGGTCGAGACTCCTTAGAGCCCTTCGTAGCCAGAGGGATTCGGCAGGGCACTATGGAATTGAAGAGAATCCAGTCTTTCATCATCGTGTGGAATTCGTCGTTCGGGGAAAGAATAGATGTTTTTGTCAGAGCAGGCATCAGCCTTTTCCGAGCTTGGTGGATGAACTAGCTGGAACCGAGGGCAGCTCCCATACATCCCGAGTCAACCCTCGAGAATCCTGCAGCGCGCCAGATAAACCGCAAGCGATTGGCTAATATAGGGGCCTAAATAATTGCCGCCATGATTCTTAGGGTTCTTTAGTTTAAAACCCTATTCTTACATCATTAAGGCCCTTAGAGTAAACGAAGCAGAGACTCCTCTGATAGGGGACTTCATGACCTTCACGGAGGAGGCACTGCAAAAGCCCTATGGCTGCAAAAGGACGTAGCTGGTTTCTCCTGGATTCTGGGATTTAGGCAAGTCTCTTGAGTGGAATTAAGACTACGAGCCCCTCAAGGGGGCCATGTCTATCCTGGGTTTGCTATTGATGTCTTCTTGGGCTTCCTTTGACTATTGCTCTTCCAGTCTGCTGCAAAGCGAGTATCATTGGTGCAGGAAGGTCCATCCTGCGGCAGATGCGGTCTAAAGGTCTGCCCATGTGGGCTGAGGGTTCAGGGGCTTCAGAAATCTGAGCTCCTTCTGCGACGGTCAGATGGTCGCAAAGCTCTGTGGAGCAAGGTCTTGCCGATGGATGCATGCCAATATGTTTCTACACCTTGCACACCCGCCTGTGCCAGAACTCTAAACCCCAAACCCTGAACCCTAACCCTAAAACCCTAAACCCGAAACCATCCTGGACCAAGAAGTGCTCAGAATTCCGAGGATGCGCCGCAAGGGGCTGTTTACCGTGGCGAATCAAGAACTCGAGAATCTCTGCGAGGTGTGGATCAGGAATTGCGGAGGATTTCACAGGATTTCTGGATTTCGGTTTGAGTCGGGCAGATCATCGCGAAGGATTCCAGACTCGAACCCAGCACCGGACCTGGAATCAAGACTCCTGCGAAATTTGACACTACAGGCAGTACTAGATAGTAGTGTTGCCGGCATAGTCAACGGCAGAACCTGTAGCTGCAAGGTGACGGTAGCAGACAGTGAGGAAGCACACAGTAAGGATGAGTTCAATGGATACAGCTGATAGCTGGATACAAAACTAGATGAGTAGATGAACCGAGATGTATGTAGATGAAAAGGTACGGATATGCATAAACAGCTCATCCGAGAAGTAAATAGACAGATCAACAAGTAAGTTGACAGCTTGCTACATTAAACAGATAAGTACATAGAGGATAAATGCAAAACAAGCACACAGACAGGCAGGCACAGGCAGGCAGGCAGGCAGACAGACACAGACAGACAAACAAGCAGACAGACCGAGAGACGGAGAGACATCGAGAGACGGAGCGACAGAGAGACGGAGAGACCCAGAGATGGAGAGACGCACCGAATGCAACTTTCACCTCCCGTATCACATGGTGGGCCTGTGTGGCCCGCATCCCCCATGCCTTGGCGAAGAAGACAGAGAGACGGAGAGGCATCGTGACAGAGAGAGAGAGGGAGAGAGAGAGACAGACAGACAGAGCGACTGACAGAGCGAAAGAGAGAGAGAGAGAGAGAGAGAGGAAGCTACAGAGATGGATCTGATCTGACCTGAGTCGGTCTTGTCCTGTGCTGTTCTATCGTTCTATCTTTTCCAACCTCATCCCTGCATGGCTTAGCTTATCTTGTCTCATCTGATCTTACCTTATGCCTTATCGATGTATATACACATTTATCCCAGACTTCACACTGCAAGCAGTCTAGCTGTGAACACAGTTTAGCTGGAAATCGAATCGAAGCATTACCTCCGCTGTCCAGAATCCAATTAGCTGTGATTGTGGGTGGCAAAGAACCTTTTGAAACCATTCTTACATCCCGCACCTAATCCACTGGTCGGAATAGTCAGCAAGAGTATCCCCTTAGCGTCAGCCCAAAGATGTAGTCTAGTGATCACGGCCCCCAGCCTAAAACGCACACTCGACCTTGGCAGGTGTTCGCTGAGCTACTTGTCCCGCACGAGAGAGATGGCCAGGTTCCAGGGTGGGCTTGCACTACTACTATTTCTATTGTTCTTATTGTCTTCTTCTTCTTATTATTACTATTATTATTATTATTATTATTCTTATTATTATTATTACTACTATTATTGTGATTCTTCTTCTTGCCACGATTAGTTTTTCTTACTATCTTTAGTAGTTTTTAGGGCTGCACGGCAGGATGCAGAGCTCAAGGCCACCCAGGGCTTACCGTTCGGGGTGCCATTCAAGGCTCCAACAGCTTCACTGTGCAGAGCATCCCTTAATGACCCCCTTCAGTGTCCAAGAAGCATCTTTTCTTCAACGTCTGAGAGTCTGCTAAACCCTAAACCCTAAACCCCTAAACCCTAAACCCCTAAACCCTAAACCCTAAACCCCTCTGAGAGCCGAGGAACAGCCTTTTTGTCGTGGAGGATTTTTCCAGCTCGGGCTCCAATGCACAGTCTGGAGACGAGCCAGAAGGTGCAAGTAATTCGTGCCTTGGCCTTGCCTGGCTTAGGGTTTAGGGGTTTAGGGTAGAGCCCTAGACAGCCTAGGGACCCTAAACCGTATCATCCTGTCATCGGTGCAGCCTCCCAGGGCAAGCATTATCCACCGAGCGGTGCTTTCCATGAGCCTCCGCACTTCAATTGCCGACCACCACAGAATGCCCCGAGCCACGTTGAAGCCGGAACCCGAGGCATTTATGGGCCCTTGCGGCCGTCCTGGGCTTTACCAGGAGTGCATGGTTCTTAATTTTTGGAACAGTCTCGAGCATGCAGCTTGGCTGCACCCAGGCTTTTGGGCCACGATTGTAGGGCACTGCAGTTTGCTCTCATCAAAGGGAGGCTCTGCATCTGGGGAGGTTTGGCTTGATTGGGTTCCTGGCCACCAGAGTTGCAGAGTGAGCAGGGGGAAGCTGCTTTACCTATTAATGTGTCGGCTATTACAGCTACCTACAGCCTTGTCACGGGTTCCCATGAAGGACATGGAGATCTCCAAATCCGAGGAAGAATCAAAGCAAGGCGACCCGGAACCGGGAGCCGTGGGATGAACTGCCAACGCAATGGTAGCTGGTACAGTCTCATGACGCTTGCGAGAAGAAGATAAAGCAAACACGAGCACACATAGAGACCGACATAAACAACTACACAAATGTACGTCTATACACAAACCAGCAAATCAATAGCTGTAAGTTTGTACTGCCACTATGTACCTAAAACACGCACACGCCGGCAGTATGTGCGTATATCCAACGCTACATCGATGAAGCAAGGACTCCCTGGCCCTCAAGGTTTATTATCTGCCGAAGTTGGCAAAGCTGCCGGCGCAAGTTCGCGGAGACCCAGATTTCAGAGGATCCATGGGAGCCCTACTATGCCCTGGACGTCTGAGCAAGGAGCATTGCAAAACCAACGTGACCCTAGGGATCGGTAAGAAGGATCGGGTTTATGGCTCATGGTCTTGAGCTTATGTTGGCCTTAAGGTTTCGGGGGTTTAGGATTAGGGTTTCGGGTTTCGGGTTGAGGTTTTGGGATTGTTAAGTCAGAGTTTTGGGCGGAATGGAGCTCTGTTTGCACCGGCCTCGCCGTTGCAATTTATTGTCCCTGCATTTATTGCTTGTGAGTGGCCAGATCCCGCTGCTAACTGCTACTGGTGCCAGAACCGCTGCTTCATAACTTCATAGCTACTTGTTACTGCTGCTGCTGGTGCTAGAACTGCAGGGACAACGATCGGCACAAATTTGCTCTCCTGCTACCGTGCAATGTCAACCCTTCACAGACAATCCTAAACCGGGCTCTTCAACAAAAACAGTATAATCGGGATTGGAGACCTTCGCCCACCCCCTGGGTCCGTGGAATCTACATTCCATGTTCGAAGCGCTGGCTTGTGGTTTTTAGGCCCTCGGCCCGCAAATCAGTAAATTCACCATGGTCGTCGTAGTGGTAGTAGCAGCAGCAGTAGTAGATGTTAGTTACAGTTGAAGTTTTGGTGGTAGTTGTGGTAGTTTAGTTGTATCAGTCGTAGGTAGCCGTAGGTCATCGTAGGTAGTCGCAGGTCGTCGTCGTAGTCGTAGATATAGTCATAGTCGTCGTCGTAGTAGTAGTAGTAGTAGTAGTAGTAGTAGTAGTAGTAGTAGTAGTAGTAGTAGTAGTAGTAGTAGTAGTAGTGTAGCAGAAGTAGTAGTAGTCGTCGTAGTAGTACTATTCGTCGTCGTCGTCGCAGTAGCAGTAGTAGCCGTAGTCGTCGTCGTAGTCGACATAGTCGCAGTAGTTTCCGTAGTAGTCGTCTTCACCCTACCTACCAACATCTTCACATGCTAGGTCAAAAGATTTATGCGTGTCGAAGGCTTTACAGCTACACCACAGGAGAATCACAAGCCGCTTGCTCGAGACGAGCATCTTCGAACCCCCACCCCTCAGTCCCATCCACGTCGCACTGTGCACGGCAGCAGACCCTTGCGTTGCAGGACCTGCCCCCTTGCGGAGTTTCTCAAAAGTTAGGTGCTGGCACCTAGCGGACCTAAACCACGAGTGTACGGATAGTACGTAGACATAGAACGGCTGGTGTTGTGCATACACACATGTGCGCCACGGTACCTTCATGAAGATGCATGTTCTATGTATGTTACAACTTAAGAAATGTATGATGCACTTATGTATATTCGTATGAACGGACATGCACATAGACATCGACATTTACATGTGCATTATCAGGTAGACGGGTACATGAGTATACAAACAAGCAAGCAAATGTGATTATGATTTTACACACACGTATACGATCGTATACGTATACGAACGAAACCGAACACACATGCATCTACAGATATTGTATAGATGTATGTGTATATGTTTATGTACATGTACACGTATGCACATATACATGTGTACGTACTGTAGTATGTATTTGTGTTGATGTCTTTTTGTATGTTTCTATATGCATACGCACATACACACACACACATATATCTATTTATATATATATATATATGTATACATGCAGATCTGTATGTACGTATGCATGTATGTATGCATGTATATCGCATCGAATGAAACATGTATGTATACGCACCTGCACATATAACTGCAAACGGCAGTAACAGCCGTTCAAGGAGAAAGTCCCGTCTCGGTGATTTCGGAGGGGGCTTGTCGACCAGACGAGTTCTCATCCATCTTCGGCTTCGGTGTTCCGAGGAGCTAATAATAAGTATCCTGATCATGCCAGCAGTACTTCATCGATGACATAGTATAGTATTATCGTATAGTATAGTATAGTATAGTATAGTATTCTCGTATAGTATAGTAGCCTATCGGACACTTCATAGATGGATCCGATGCCTCGGCCGTGGTCGGCGGCCCCCCCAAGTCGTAGAACCTTGGCCCGAAAATTCGGGAACCGTGGAACCGTGGCAGCTTGGAGTGGAGAAAGTTTAGGGCAGAGGAGAGTTGAGAGTTTAGGGTAAGGGCTAGTTTCAAGGTTTCCATGAGGGTTCGGCCCGGTTTAGGATTCAAGGCTTGTGTGGACACTTGCTGCACTGAGCCTATGTCGCATCCTGAAACAGCCGGTCGATGGAGGTATTATTACCAGTTTTGATCATGCGGGGGCGAATGTATTGAATCTTGAAATAATCAGAGAGCACACCTTCTCCCACCCTAAACAAGGGTGTCTAAGCCTAAACCCCGCACCGTAAACCTCCAAACCCTGGACCGTAAGCCTAGATCCAATTGCTCCTGCCCTTTGCTCTGCAGTCCGTCACGGCACTCTGTGCACGCGCCAAAGGTCGCAGCCTAGGCACGCCAACAGGAATGGAGGGATCGGAAAAATAGCCTGTTCGTCCCTAATGTATGTAACTATACCAACACTATTCGAATTATTGAGGCTTCTACAGTAGAGCAGCCATGTGGTCAAGTTGCTGATCCATTTCCGTCCAGGGTTTGGTGTTGATGGTGCGCTTCAGATAGTTAAGATTTCGGAGAAGTCTGTGTTTCTGGAGTGGACCAGAACTAAGCCTAGCCTGACAAGCATCAGCCTTCAGTCCCGAGCTGTGAGCTTCCTGAACCATGAACCCTAATGTAAACCCCCGGCAAGTACCCCGTCCCGTTCCGCTTTTCTTTGAGGGGCCCGAATATTCGGAGCACGCATGCCCTAATACAGTCCTTATTCTTCGGGAGGAGCTGTCCAACAAATCAGGAGCCCTAAATGACATGAATCCCAGAACCGCTTTTCTTTGAGGGGAATATTCGGAGCACGCATGCCCTAATACAGTCCTTATTCTTCGGGAGGAGCTGTCCAACAAATCAGGAGCCCTAAATGACATGAATCCCAGAACCGCTTTTCTTTGAGGGGAATATTCGGAGCACGCATGCCCTAATACAGTCCTTATTCTTCGGGAGGAGCTGTCCAACAAATCAGGAGCCCTAAATGACATGAATCCCAGAACCGCTTTTCTTTGAGGGGAATATTCGGAGCACGCATGCCCTAATACAGTCCTTATTCTTCGGGAGGAGCTGTCCAACAAATCAGGAGCCCTAAATGACATGAATCCCAGAACCGCTTTTCTTTGAGGGGAATATTCGGAGCACGCATGCCCTAATACAGTCCTTATTCTTCGGGAGGAGCTGTCCAACAAATCAGGAGCCCTAAATGACATGAATCCCAGAACCGCTTTTCTTTGAGGGGAATATTCGGAGCACGCATGCCCTAATACAGTCCTTATTCTTCGGGAGGAGCTGTCCAACAAATCAGGAGCCCTAAATGACATGAATCCCAGAACCGCTTTTCTTTGAGGGGAATATTCGGAGCACGCATGCCCTAATACAGTCCTTATTCTTCGGGAGGAGCTGTCCAACAAATCAGGAGCCCTAAATGACATGAATCCCAGAACCGCTTTTCTTTGAGGGGCCCGAATATTCGGAGCACGCATGCCCTAGTACAGTCCTTATTCTTCGGGAGGAGCTGTCCAACAAATCAGGAGCCCTAAATGACTTGAATCCCAGAACCGCTTTTCTTTGAGGGGCCCGAATATTCGGAGCACGCATGCCCTAATACAGTCCTTATTCTTCGGGAGGAGCTGTCCAACAAATCAGGAGCCCTAAATGACATGAATCCCAGAACCGCTTTTCTTTGAGGGGCCCGAATATTCGGAGCACGCATGCCCTAGTACAGTCCTTATTCTTCGGGAGGAGCTGTCCAATCAAGGAGCCCTAAATGGACATGAATCCCAAGACCGTTTTCTTTGAGGGGCCCGAATATTCGGAGCACGCATGCCCTAATACAGTCCTTATTCTTCGGGAGGAGCTGTCCAACAAATCAGGAGCCCTAAATGACATGAATCCCAGAACCGCTTTTCTTTGAGGGGCCCGAATATTCGGAGCACGCATGCCCTAATACAGTCCTTATTCTTCGGGAGGAGCTGTCCAACAAATCAGGAGCCCTAAATGACATGAATCCCAGAACCGCTTTTCTTTGAGGGGAATATTCGGAGCACGCATGCCCTAATACAGTCCTTATTCTTCGGGAGGAGCTGTCCAACAAATCAGGAGCCCTAAATGACATGAATCCCAGAACCGCTTTTCTTTGAGGGGAATATTCGGAGCACGCATGCCCTAATACAGTCCTTATTCTTCGGGAGGAGCTGTCCAACAAATCAGGAGCCCTAAATGACATGAATCCCAGAACCGCTTTTCTTTGAGGGGAATATTCGGAGCACGCATGCCCTAATACAGTCCTTATTCTTCGGGAGGAGCTGTCCAACAAATCAGGAGCCCTAAATGACATGAATCCCAGAACCGCTTTTCTTTGAGGGGAATATTCGGAGCACGCATGCCCTAATACAGTCCTTATTCTTCGGGAGGAGCTGTCCAACAAATCAGGAGCCCTAAATGACATGAATCCCAGAACCGCTTTTCTTTGAGGGGCCCGAATATTCGGAGCACGCATGCCCTAATACAGTCCTTATTCTTCGGGAGGAGCTGTCCAACAAATCAGGAGCCCTAAATGACATGAATCCCAGAACCGCTTTTCTTTGAGGGGCCCGAATATTCGGAGCACGCATGCCCTAATACAGTCCTTATTCTTCGGGAGGAGCTGTCCAACAAATCAGGAGCCCTAAATGACTTGAATCCCAGAACCGCTTTTCTTTGAGGGGCCCGAATATTCGGAGCACGCATGCCCTAATACAGTCCTTATTCTTCGGGAGGAGCTGTCCAACAAATCAGGAGCCCTAAATGACATGAATCCCAGAACCGCTTTTCTTTGAGGGGCCCGAATATTCGGAGCACGCATGCCCTAATACAGTCCTTATTCTTCGGGAGGAGCTGTCCAACAAATCAGGAGCCCTAAATGACATGAATCCCAGAACCGCTTTTCTTTGAGGGGAATATTCGGAGCA